GGTTGAGATCCTACAAAAACAACACTTTCCCGCAAACCTAGTATGCATATGGGGGCGGAGCATAGATTGATTGCTCCTCAACAAGTCCTAGGAGTGGATCAAGCGTGCGACGGCTGATCAACGACTGTGGTTGAGCAGCCCAAAGCGCCACTGGGAGACTGAAAGTTGCCGTGTGCGGGCCCTTCAGCCGATCGTTCCCGCTCACTTCGAACTTCATTGACAGGTCAAGCGTGTAACTGACACTTAATAGATCTGTAGAAATCGATGGTGTCGAGATCGATTCCGGTACGAGAAGCTCCAGCTCCATTGATGTCGTGTATTTCGAAGTCTCAGTGTTCGACTTGTAGAGAGGTGGTAATGACAGGGCAAACTTCTGCGTCGACGCTCTGTCGCTGTGAACAGTGGATTCCACAGCAGAAGAGCCAATTGTAAACGTCCTTTTGGTGAACCACCGGGCCGTTACCGAACAGTTGAGCAAGTCTGTCTCAAGAAGTGATTGTGCTTTTCGGCGAACGTGCGATGGTAAGCCGACCTTGACCGAGACTGGAACCGTGAGTCGTCGACAACCAGTGGCAGCTGTGGAGAAGTCGCTGATGGCGCAGCCAAGCATCTTTGGCAAGTGCACGGATACTTCAGGCTGCGACTGAGATCCAAGCAATCTGTTAAATCGCAGTTGAGGTTTTGCAACCTGCTCAACTTGGTCTGAGTGGCTTGAAGAGGTGACCTCCACATCCAGAGGAGTCAGACCTGATGAGACGTCGACGGGACAACTGATCCTCCGTACCACCTGGTTCGTTTGCGATTGCAAGAACTCGGCCTCGAGCGAGTAAGCTACCTCACACGAGCCCTCCAAAAGCTCCCTGTTCGTCAGAGCAGTCACTCGGGTGAGATATGTGGTACCAGACAGCGTCATCGATGGCACGAATTCGCCGGAGGGGCCGTTCCTGGGGGACGGAATTGGGCAGACGAAATCGAGATATTGTTCTTCAGATCGCTGTTGAGATGGAGAGTAGACCGGCTTGAAGTCCAAGTTGGATTTGACAATGGACGTGGAAGGGATCTTAATCGATCAAAGTCAGCCCTTGTCCTTAGATAGTGGTGACATAGAACCAACCTGTTCAACTGCAGCCTGTGACCCAATCTTGGTGCGGATGGCACCTTGCAACCGGATACGAACAGTATCGAAAGAGCCATCCTGGTTGAAGACGCTGATACGACCGTGGAGCCTAAGCCGCGATCGAGCATTCATTTTATCATCCAAACTCATTCCTGACTCCGCTGCTGCGGATACGCCCAAAACTTTTATCGTCGGCGTCGACATCTTCCCCCGAAATCGATAAATCCAGCAAACGTGGTTGGTATCGGTTGTTTATTCTAGGTTTTTGATGTGTGTAGAAAGAAGACTGCCACTGTTGATGAATCTTGGTGCTTGGGCTCGCAGACGGTGTCGAAAAACAGGTTTGTTTCAAGTGAAAAGGGGTTGAAAGCCGCCTTGATGCCCAAGCCCAAACTTACCGTGCTTGACGCCTCACTTTATATTAACTCACCCGCCTCACGCCCAAGCCCACATGGCTCATCCCAGGTGAAGTCACATCCATCCCCATCCTCATCGGCAAAGTGAGAAAAATAATTGGAATTTCTCGGGGACAATGCCAAATTGATGGGCGGGACGCTCAGGGCCAAAAGACTTGGTGAGCGACGGCTGATGTTTCTGGCGCGTGTCAGTCTTGCAGGTCTTGTCTCCGTCCGGCGAGAATCGAGACTCCAAAATTGACTTTACCGAAATGAGTCAAATGGGCAGGGAAATTCCCCATTCGGCAAGCGAGAGCGAGATTTTGAATTCCGCAGTTAGAGCAGCAAGTGGCGCCTTTCGAAAGGCGGCAGCTCGGTCCAATTTGCCGCTAAAGGAAATAAACAGCGATAATGCACCCTATATCCTTACCAAGCAGGACAGCCTCACTAATCATGCCCAAGGGACAGCGGAATGCAGCCTTGCGGAAGACATTAATACTTGTCAGAATGCGATAATCACTGCTATGGGCACGTTACGGTGCTTAATCTGAAGGAACTTACGAGGATATATATCTACCAATATGCACCTCGTGGCAATCTCGACCAGATTGAAACCAAAGAGAACTCGACCACGAAGTCGACGACCAAGAAAGATCCAAGTTCTATCAAAATTCGATTCAGAGTACCATGGCTGCTGCAGGCCCAATCTATACGACCTCCAATGGTCGTCCCATCACCTTCGCCACTGCTTCTCAAACCGTGGGCACCCACGGGCCTATCCTTCTACAGGACTTCCATCTCATCGACCTGCTTGCCCACTTCGACCGAGAACGCATCCCTGAGCGTGTTGTCCATGCCAAGGGCGCAGGGGCTCTGGGAGAATTCATCGTGACTCACGACATCACTGATGTGGTATGGCATTTTCGTTATCCAACCTCGTGGTAAAACAGGACACAAACTAACCGATCCTCCAGACATCTGCAGACCTGTTCAACGAGATTGGAAAGAGGACCAAAGTCGCCGTGCGCTTTTCCACCGTGGGTGGTGAAAAGGGCTCGGCCGATGCAGCCCGCGACCCACGAGGCTTCTCCATCAAATTCTACACGGAAGAAGGAAACTGGGACATGGTCGGCAATCACACTCCAATCTTTTTCATTCGAGATGCGATCAAATTCCCCACGTTCATCCATACGCAAAAGCGAAATCCTCGTACAAACCTCAAGGATGCTACCATGTTCTGGGATTTTCTCTCGAGCAACCAGGAATCCGTGCACCAAGTGATCCAGTTGTTCAGCGATCGGGGCACGCCCGGCTCCTATCGCCATTGCGATTCATTCTCAGGGCATACGTTCAAGTTTACTAAGAACGACGGCACGTTCAAGTACGTGAAGTTTCACTTTAAGACGGACCAGGGACACTGGGACATGACGAACGAGGAAGCCACGGCTCTGACGGCAAACAATCCGGACCATGCCACCGAGGATCTCTTCAATGCGATTGAGCGCGGCGAGTATCCCTCTTGGACTTTGTACGTGCAGGTCCTGGACCCCAAAGACGCCGAGACGTTTCGCTGGAACATCCTCGATGTCACAAAGGTGTGGCCTCACTCGGAAGTGCCCCTGCGGCCCGTGGGCAAGATGACGCTCAACCGCAACCCTGAAAACTACTTCGCTGAGATTGAACAACTCGCTTTCTCCCCTGCCCATCTTGTCCCCGGCATCGAGCCTTCCGCGGACCCGATGCTTCAAGGCCGCTTGTTCTCGTACGCGGACAGCCAAAGACACCGACTCGGTGTGAACTACCAACAGATCCCTGTCAACCGCCCTCTCCACGCGTATGCGCCGTTCCAGCGCGACGGCTTCATGGCCATCACAGGCAACTACGGCGGCAGTCCCAACTACCCTTCCCCGTTGAAACCAAACACCTACCTCCCCGTGGACAAGCCCATCGACGGCGCCCACGAGACCTGGGTGGGTCGAGCCGTGCATAACCTCCAGCCGGTAACGGACGAGGACTTTGTGCAGGCAAACATGCTTTGGGAAGTCTTGGGTCGCACAAAGGACCAGCAGGAACATCTGGTACATAACATTTCGGTGCATCTCTTTGCCGCGGTCAAGGAGGTCAGGGAGAGGACGTACGGGATGTTCGAACGAGTGAACAAGGAGCTAGGGAAGAGGGTGAAGGAGGAGACGGAGGCTGTGAGGGTGGAGAAGGGGCTCAATGCGGCTGAGTAGAATGGAGTCCATGTGTGGAATATGTTGGTGCGTTCCGTTGCATCAATGAATAGGATCCCGGCTTCTCCATGAGCCAAGTTTGTATAGTAGATAGGTGTCCAATAAGCACAATACATCTTACTCTTTCCATAAGACTCCTTTCCCCCCACGAGGGGGACCAAGGTAAGAAAGGCAACGCAAGACAACCCGAGACAAGGCGGCGGTCAAGCTAAATAGTCTAAGAGTAGTAGAGATAATTTTGAAATATATCTGTACTAATATGTTTCAGATCCCTCTGTCCGCCAGCTGGGATGCAGGTAACCAAGCGGGCTCCTTAATACAGATACTCCGGACTGTACATACACATACACGCCGTACATATATATCATATTGGTGTGCCTACCTACATAGTCCACCAACAGCCCCAACCATACTAGCTATGGACAGATATGGTATACCATTACGAGGCTAGGGTCAGACAGGCAGCAGGCTAGGAGGCAGATAGCCAGGTATAGTTCGCGGCCGGACCTCGCCCTCGGTCTCCCGACCCAGTTAGACGGACTGCAACCTCGCCCTTCCTCACTTCACCTCACTAGGACTTGTATCCATTAGCTCCCCATTGAGTATCATGCAGAGAGGTTGGCCGCGTCTATCCAAGGCGGCTACCCGGCGTTCTCGGCGCAGATTCGGCGCAATGACGCAACTTCCTCCCCACACCACAGCACACGTAGCGCGGCCTGCCCCGGCTGAACCACTGGTGGCTGCATACAGCTATTATGGATGTAGTAAGCATGGCGTCGAGGACGGCTAATAGAACAAGACAAGGCAAGAACAAGTTGGTGGCAGATGAGATCGACGGGTGAGCCCTCCGGTCTGTCGAGTCCAGACTCTAGATGGCCCTGGAGAAACCCCCCCCCCCCTTTCTTGGCTGTTCCAGGTTCTGGTGCAGGTATATACACGCAGGCGTAAGACTGAGGGAAATTCAGCATCGACATTAGATATTCCATATACTCACAAGTTAAGTTGAGGACTGGAGAGACGAATCACCGCGTCCCGTCCAAGTAATGACGCTTGCATACGATGTGAGTATTCAACAAATGGTCCGCTAACCTTCAGAACTCCAAACCCTTGACCACTGGTCATCAACCGTCACACGGGCTCATTTTGGTGTTGGAATACATTTTCCCCGACCTTTCGTCTTCTCACGTGGCAGAAATGCTCAGCCCAGCGTCAGAAGACTTGTCCATAGCACGTTTCCCTGCTTCATTTCGTTCATTATGCAATCTCTCTGACCGCATCATCTTCCCAGCGCCATTGCTCTTTCAAATCTCTAATCCGGTGCGCAGTCGGACAACCTGTCTCCTTGGCAATGTTGTCTAGCAATTCCAAAACAACGGTTCGGTCCTCTTTCTCCTCAAAGCACGATCCCGCCAGATAGAGCGAGTGCACCATTTGCCTGCTGACTGCCGGCGGTGGTTTCCCCAACGCGATGCCGCAAATCTGGCGGCTGTGATGCTCTGACTCTTCAGCTACCTGTCGAAACATTCGAAGCCTGTTCGCTGGGTGTCTCGCGTCTTGTTCATCGACAGGCTGGTTCAAGAGCAGAAGAATTTGGGCAAAGTGATAAAGTTGAAGAGCTGCAGCACACATTGGGACACTGAAGAACAGTCTTGCGAAGCGCGGTCTGCCATCGGGCAAAAGGTCAGAGGGTTGTTGTGCCCCTGCGGCTGCAATCGCATATGGTTGAAAGGTGAATGGAAGATTGTCGTACCAGTCTTCGAGTTGTCGACGCAGTTGTTTCCACCGAGCGATGCGAGGTTGCATAGCACCTGGAGTACCCGGATCGGACCCGGCTTTGATTTGCGTTGCGGGGCTGTCGAACACTCGTGGAGTACCCACCGTACTTCCTGTGCCGTCTTCTTGCGGTGCAATAAAATTCATGGTCCTCAAGACGATCCAGATCAACGTACAGGAAACCAAATCTTCTCTATCGCCAGGTTGATATGAAACGACGGCATTGATTGGAGTCGATGGATCATTATAGTTTAGTGTTCCATCGTCCATAACGGGCAACCCTGCTGCTTTCCACATGGTCAAATTGTCGGGGTCTAATCGGGTTTTTGAGTGGTTGACGTAAGCCGCGAGGTAATCTGCGCGAGCGAAGTTCCAGAAAGCTGCTCGGCCGGCCTTCATTGATATGAAAGGGTTTGCGGGGGGGCGAGGGACAGAAAGTGCTGCTTGTGGAAGGATCTTGCTCTCCAGGAGTGCTTTGAACCCATCGAGATGTCTAGAAACCCGGTTAGTCGGAATAACTACCCAAGTGAATTCAAAAGGAGACCGTGTAGGATTTCAGAAAGGTGGGAGACTTGAACGCCAGGGAGAGAAGGTGGTCTCCAAAGACAGACAGAAAAGCACTTACTGTGACCAGTCTTCGGCAAAGTTGTCGAGCGATTCATAAAGCGAGAACACGGATATTGCAGCCACCAAAGCTTCCATATCTGCTCCATCCGATGATTGCGTTCTGCTTATGCGTCGTCGCTTGTGGGGAGAAACGCTCAGCGTGGCGTTATTGTTCCGTTCAGACAGACTTCTCGGATCATTGTACCTCGAGGCATGTCCGGTAAACCCCTCGTTATTCGTATCGCTCAACCAACGCTGCAGGAAAATCCTCAGGTATGATATGCCACGGTCATAGTAGTTGGCGGCCTTGTAAAACCAATCGGTGTGCTGCAAAACACCATCTTCTCCAACAAATGGCAGGAGATGCTGCAGATCTTCCAAAGGTGAGTGATTGGCCATCATCTGTCCGATTTGGTTCGCGGCAACAGCGGCCATCGCGGATCTTAGCATTACATTTTGGACGGCTTTCAAAGGCACGATTCTACTGAAGTACGTGTCGAGGTCGAAAAGATCCATGCTGCTATCAGTTAGAAGTCGGATGGAGGAATCATCAAAACGCCACTGAAACTCACGATGGTGAAACTGATTGCACAAAATGTCGTGTCAGGCAGGCCAATTCGGTGGTCTTTTCGTGGAGGTACTTCTGACTGTACTCTGGGCGACTGGTGCGAGTACCATCCGAGCTATGAGCGTACATCTGTCAGCGTAGGTGTTCGACTTAGCTGGATTGCAAGGAAAAAGAGACGCTGGGTGCAGCCAAGCTGTTTTGGATAGAGCGCGAGGGAGAGAAGGTAGCTTACCCATCATAGACTGATGATCGGCCGCTGATGGAGGCGAAATCACTCGTCAAAAAATCATCGTCAGACTCAGGAACATTGTTGTCGGTCAGAATTACGGGTAGACCGGGAATGAAGCCGCAGGCATTATTGCCCTTCGCATAGTAGGTTTCAATGTCAAGATCGAAATAGTCCTCGCTAACTGAAGAATCCAAATCTGAGGGCGCATACTGGGGCCTGCCATGTAGTAATTTGGCCGTGGGGTGCTCCTGGTGAGTATACTGGCCATATTCGGCCAGCTGCGGAGACGCCCCTGCGAATTGAAAATTGGACGGAGGAGCCGATGGAGGTGGTGCGCTGATCGCAGGTGGTGGTGGCGGAGGGGTGTTAGGAAATAGATTGAAGTCGGGGCTTTGCTGGTTGAGTATTCCAAACGCTGGAAATTGTATGTTGCCGAGCGAGGTCCGATCGGAACCTGCTTGTATGCTTGGAAGGTTAGGAGCGGAAGAGATGGGTGGTGAAATGATCTGGGGAATGCTCGGGATGTTCTGTATCGGCGGAAGATTGATTCGTTGGTCAGGCACTGGTGCTACTGGGACTCTGGGAGGAGTCGAGACCACCACCCTGGAGAAGTCCGGGGATTGAAATTGTCCATCATACTTCCTTCGAACCTTGATACCTTCATCCAGGAATTTGCGTTCCAGGTCATAGCCAGTGCACGGTCTGCCGAGCTTCTCACACCGCAGGCAGGCGGGAAGTCTCTTGTCACACTATTCGCTTTGTGAGCAAGCGAACAGACGGAAAGCAACAAGAGGGGGACATGGTCGATGGAAAAGAGCGGTTCGACCCAGGAACTACCTACCTTGACCCGGCGCTGTCTGCAGGAATTACAGGCCCGATCGGCGTACTCGACACTTGGAGTGACGTTTGCCATGCAGAGAGACGGCCCCTTCTTTGAGCGCTCTCGCTGTCAGATTGCCTGCGATTGATTTTTTCTTCTTCGGATGAGGTTGGAATTAGGTGGCGCGGAAAGGTATGGGTCGGGGGGTCCCACCCGGCAGCGACTCCAGAACAAATCCTATGACACCAAGAAAACAGGTCGCGCGAGACCCCTCGAATTGAGGATCGGGGGATCGATGAGTTGAGGATCAAAACTCGGCCGTAGGACCTGGGGATTGGAGGGGGATTGTAGAGGAGAAAGAGTTGGCGAGATGGAAGGCCGGACGGCAGAACACCGGAAGTCCGAGAAAGGAAAGACGCTCCGCGGCCCGCCAAGGGCTGATTCATGGTGTCTGGGAGTTACGTAATTGGCTGTCATGTCACGGCAGCTCGCTGACTATTTCTATATTTGGTCTAGCAGCATACGTGCCCGGCTAAGCGTTGAGTCGCCTTACGTCGCCGACACGTGACCGCCATGGACATTCCTGGTATCGATCTCGCGACCTAATAAGCCGTCACCCGTCTTCCGTGCCGTCCTGAATACCATTACTATTATATCTTGGGTAAAAGAGGGGCACCCAACGGGCTCTGCAGGCTCCAAATAAATAAAAGTGGCCTGACTCGTCCTCGACTCGCCCTCACCTCCCTCTTCTGGTTTTTTCCTCCTTCTGTTGGTTCTTCTGCTTGTTCGCCCATGTATCCCCGATAAGGCTAATTCCGGGGCCCTTTCGTCCCCTCTAACTGGCAATGTCACCAATGTCACCCATCACGGTGCAAAGGGTCAGTGAGAGCTTCCGTCGCCTCACCAGCGACTCCATCCACCATGCCCTTGGGTCCCCCGTTGACGATACAGCAGTTGTTCATCTATCCCGTCAAGTCTCTCCCACCCGTCCAAGTGTCATCGGTGGAGCTCACCAACGAGGGGTTGCGCTTCGATCGATGTTTTGTGTTGGTTAATCCTCCGAAGGACGGCTCACGGTTGGCGAAATTCCTCACGATCAAGAAACAGTTCAAGCTCGCGCTCTTTAAGCCGACCATAGTAAGCCTTGCGCCTTGCGCCTTGCGTTCCGGCGTGCAGGACACACCGGCGCTGATTCTAACCCTCTGTTCCTTGCAGGATGACAGCTGGACGAAACTGACGATCCATCACACTCGAGCCACTCCTCCGTCTTCAGTCACGGTGCCACTAACTCCGTCGCCACTCTCTCTTCTGGCGAACAAGACCTTTGAAGTCAGCATCTTTGGCACAACCGCAATAGGCATCGACCTAGGGGATGAGCCGGCTGCCTTCTTTTCCAAGCACCTGGATCAGGACGTCCGGCTCCTTTCTATAGGAGGGACTGGCCGCCGTGACATTCCTGGGGCAGCATACATCCCGAGCCAACGTAGTGCCTTGTCTCTAGCTCTCCAAGAAGGCCTGCAACCGCAGCGCATCCGATTTGCTGATGCTGCTCCCTTGCTGATTACCTCGACGGCGTCCGAGCAAGATGCCCGCTCTAGACTTCCCCCGGAGTATCAATACGAGGACGTGATACTCCGATTCCGACCTAACATTCATGTTGATGTCAAGGGCCAACTCCCTCCCTACGACGAGGACAATTGGTCTTCGCTCTTGGTTCGATCGCAATCGGACGAGGCGCAGGAAGTCACAATCAAATGCATCTTTCGGACAGTCCGATGCCTCAGCTTAAACGCTGATCCCGACACGGGGGAGATGATCCATCGCGATCGGCAGCTCTATGGACTATTGGCCAGTGACAGGAGAGTCAATGACAAGTTTCCTCGTAAGTACCTGTGTATTTCGTTTCTATCTGTTATTCCTTTGCCGTTGGGTGGCCTTTCTGACCTTGGAGACAGACAAGCCTGTGTTCGGTCAATACGCCTTTGCAGGTCCCTCCGGTGCCGTCTTGCGCACTGGAGATACCGTCTACGTGACCGAAAGGATCCAACGAAGCTAACAGTTGAGGCGCAACTGCTGCTCAGTATATCGAGGGTGATGGTATATCTGCGAGGCAGGAGCCGGTTGAGTATGAAACCGAAAGCCATAGATGTCGTTATAAGGGCCCTGACGCAGAGCCCGCTGCGAGAGAGAGACGGGATATCTTGTCTCGCATGCTCCGTTACATCCGGTGAGCCGTCGAGAAAATCGGTGGATTCCCGAACCATATACTCGCGTACTGTCCTCGAGGTACGCCTCTTCCGAGGCAACGAAGAGCTGTCGGATTTGGATGGTGACGCTTTGGAATTATCTTCCGAACCAGCTGCATTCAGCCAAATGGGGTCTCTGGCCTCCAACCGCCTTGACCATTTCGCCACCTCTGCTCCTTCTCCTTGTCAAATCTCCAACAACCGTTTGCTCCTCGTAACCGATCAGCCTCGTCATCGTCAAGTTGGTCGAAGAGACTCTGGACCACTTCTTCCTCGTCGGGAGCGCTACCACAGCGGGTGAAGAACATGGTTTCCCATTTCTTTCGCTCCTTCTGCTCGAGCTTCCTCAGCTGGCGCTGGGCATTCTCCAGCCTCGACTTCTCCGTCACAACTGCATTATGATCCGTGCGTTTTATGGCTTCGAAAGTTGAACCCCATGCCCGTCTCGATTCCCAAGGCGATTGCTCCTCCACCGGCTTGACTGCCATGGGCGCAGGTTGGTTTTGAGGATCTGCCAGGTCAAATACGTCAATCTCCTTCCCTTCCGAATTGAATATCGAAAATTTGGAACTCCAGCTTCCGGATGCCGTAAAGATGGCCTTCTTCTGAGAATCGACCGTACGGTATATGGAAGCTTCAAAGCAGTTTCGCTGGCCACCCCACATCTTCTTTCCAATGAATCGCATCTCGGCTGTGTATCCACTAGAGCTGATGATGCTATAGGTGTCGTTGAGTTCGGGCCAGGGCACGCCGGTGAGAACACTTCGCGCACAGACATCAGGCAGAGGCAGAAGATAGGTCTCGTTATATTTATCAATTTTCAAGACGCCGTGGCCAGATTGACGGATCATGACCGATGTTCCGGATAGGGTGGTGTGCTGAGTTGAATATGCCTGGGCGTGGACGCCGTGGCCGTCGGCTGAAATATATGCTGCTGTGGTGGGCGGGTGATGCGATACCTGTTCGCTGATCACCCTGACCGTCGATGTCGGGGCCTTCTCTTGGGTCAAGTCGTGGTCACTGAATTCGCAGAAGAACAATTCGCCGAGGAAAGGATTGAGAGGCTTCTTTAATCCTTCCTTGACGGTGCGGCCGACATAATACTGTTGCAGGGAAGCCAGGTACAGTTTCAAAACCAAGAGCATGCGTCTTTCCGCTAAAGGTTCATGGGCTGAAGCGGTAAACAACGTTGGTCGTTCTGCCCAGTACGCAGGGAACTCTGTGAGAGAAGATGGTGCGAGGATGAAGGGTGGAGCGGTAATGTGAGAGATATCCCCGCTGACCGTGGCAAGGAACTGTTTGTGTTTGTACCATGTGAGTGAGGCGGGTCAAGAGAAACAGAAATGACCGGGTCGTCACTTACGGATATAAAGTCTTTGAGGGCACTGAGGTTGCCTAGCCTGGCGACCATGATTGTTAGACGATGTGGAGTAGATTTTTGAGGGGGATTCTTTTTATCGATGACGGCTTTTCAATGGAAGTAATGGAAAGTAATGTGGGAATGGAAAGAACAGTGACAAGGGAAAACTCTAGGGGGGTATCAAAGTTGAAGATGATGGCAGTATGGAGCAGTGAGCAAAGTCTGAAGAGGTGGACATGGAGCTTACTTTGTACCATCGGTATCCTCTACGTCGGCCTCATGACTGGCATCCCTGCCTGTATCGGTCCCATCGCCCATGCGTTTCACGGATCTCTTGATCTTGTCCATTTCCCAGACCTACTGTCCACTAGCCGCGTCAGGGAACCCCGACACGCTCCAGCCTCGATGGCCGTTACGCGGCCCTGGGCGCTGTGGTTCAAGCGGACGGTTTCCAGAGAGGGCGTAGTTTACGCGCGATACGTGCGGCAAAAGGAAGATGGCGGGGGGGTGGAACTGCGTTGGAAATGTCAGAGCAGAGTGGAGAGGGACGAGGAAAGAGGAAAAGAGAAAGCGGAAAGGGGGGATGGAATGGTGGAATCATGAAGCATTCCGACTGTTTCAAAAATAGGATGTTGGGACGGTTGGGCCAGTGATGTCAGACACATACAGGCGTCGATTCTCTAGCATTACCCAAGCGAGCCAGTACCCAGAGCCTTACCCAGTACCTCGCTACCCTCGCTACCCAGTGCAGTGATGAAACGACTCCTGTTGCGCCACTTCTTTTTCGTCTGTTCCACTCAAAGCCATCGAACTCCACCGACCCTGTTTCTGTGCCATTGTACTGGGTATGATCGAGCAGTCGTGTCCCATGGTACAGATGATGGGAGGGCGATGAGATCAAGGTCCCGAGTAAGCCCCCAAGTCCCATCCTTCTGACCATGTGAAAAGGACAGTGCTCGGTAAAGCCAACAACAACAGCCCTTCGCAGCTTAGGCCCTCCCTTGGGCGAAAGCGTCAGACACACGCCAATAGAAACCCTGCAGGCAGGTCATACATGCAGCCAGCCTGCCCTTTGGCGAGCGCAGATCATAGCAACGTCCTCCTCTTACGCTCGAAAATCGTGGGAACAAAGAAGCCCCATTACACAGCACGCCAACCAACACCCTTCAAGACACATATTTCGCGCGGAAGCACACAGACCCGAGAACACGAAAAGTCTCCCATCCCCAAGAGTCAAGGTTCACGAGGGTTTTACGAAGGAGGCTGTGCTCTGTGGCCACGACACACTCAACCCGTTTTTGCCTCCCCCAGGAAAAAAAATAGGATTATTTTTAGGCCGAGGAATGAAGGGGGAAAAAAGACCAAAAAAAATATCAAAAACAAAAAAAGCCACCCCCCTCAACGTGGTCATCATGTCTGGAAGAGAAAGTCATCGGGTAGTCCCTCGCCGGGGCAATGCCGTGGACGAAGTCCTTAGTCGCCAAAGGAATCTGGACAGCTCTTTTCCACTTGATCTTGGGCAACGAAGGATTTTGGCCATTTCTTTGGCTGGGGTGGTCAGCCACTTTCATGTGACCCGAGTCATCTCGTCTTGGTGTGTGCTCTCCTGGCCTTGCAGAGGTTTTACATGACCGCTTCCATTCACATATCAAAGTTAACTAAGCCAATGATGTCGCTGCCGACCTTAATTCAAGCATCGGTAGATTGTTAAATACTAAGCAGGTAGGTCTTGGTGATGCATTTGCAGTCTAACTGACTAGAGGACGCCCTCAGCGGCGGGGTGTGGGTTTGAAATGTATGCCTGGCTCGCCAATCTCGAGAAAAATTGTTCGAATGCAGCTATGGTACTCCTTCCCTGAGTGGAAGGAAGCTTTCCAAAGGGTCTTCGCCCCGTCACAGAGCGAGTCGCCCTCCATCCACCGGCAGATTGACTCCGGTGACAAATGCCGCCTCGTCACTCGCAAGGTAAACCGCAGCCATGGCGATATCATTTGGCTCCGACATGCGGCGTAATGGAACAGTTTGGGCAAACCTCTCTCTTTCTTCAGGAGTATCTGGGACGCCGCTAAATAGTTCTAGCAGGCCCGTGGCGCCTCGGAGCGGACAGATCGAGTTCACGCGGATCCCGTCTGGCCCATACTCGGCAGCAAGCCCCTGGGTGATCTAATACACCATTATTAGCAAACGGCATCAAAGCATGGAACTTTGAACAGGAGGATTCTCAGAGTACCGTGTTGACAAATCCCTTGGTACCGCCGTAAAAGACCTGACCGGGCCGGGTTCTCATGCCAGAAATCGACGAAGTGCTCAGGAAAACGCCACTTTTCCTCTCGACGAAATACGGCATCAAGACCGAAACACTCAGATATATGCTCTTGATGTTGACGGCCACGACCCTGTCGAAATCCGCCTCCGAAACGCCCATGCTAGGCTGTTTCTTGTAGGTGGTGCCAGCATTGTTGACCACAATGTCCAGCTTTCCATACTTGTCCTTGGCCAACTGCAGACCCTTCTCCCAGTCGCTGCGTTTGGTGACGTTCAACTCGACGAATACGGCGTCTCCTGTGTAACCTTTGGCTGCAATATCAGAAGCCACTCTCTGTCCATTGGCCACGGCAATGTCTGCGATCAGGACTTTTGCCCCTTCTGCAGCGTATGCATGTGCAATAGCCTCGCCGAACCCGCTGCCCGCTCCAGTGACGAGAGCAACTTTGCCGCTTAGACGTGCCATTGACTTTGCTGAAGTGAATTTTGCGGAAGTTGATTTCCTCCCTCAGTGGTCTTCGACACGCTTTTCGCTGACAAGGCTGAGAGCGAGAGGGAGGGAGAATGAGGGGAGCGGGACACAGTGTGCGGAGATGCCCCGACGGGTTGCCGATGGGGATGCCGAGGGCTGTCTCGGAGCCTACACATTCGCTGCTAAATGCCCCGTCGGTGGTGCCGTCGCCTGTGAGATGCCGGGAGCAGCCAGTGTCCAAAGGGCCTGCCGACCTCCTTCTCCAATTCCTCCCCTGCAAATGGGGGGAGCTTATGGGCTACAGCATTGGGTGCTTGAACAGTTCCCCACGCGCCGATAGCGGACATGACTTTGGGTGCCATCGAGAGATCTCCTGACATTCTGTATGGACGTCAAAATGCCGATTCAAATCCAAAAGCGAGAGACGCTTTCTACAATTCCATTCGCAGGGCATGCCATTGTGAGCGCAAAGGGCCAGATTTGTCAACGGGCCATCCAGATCTGGTCGCTCGTTCCTGTTTGAATCAATGTGAGTCGGCCTCTCACAAGGGTATGCACACGGATAAAATGGCTCCCCCATCCGGTTGTGATGTCCTCGTCGCAGGTAGCGGCAACGCGGGCTTTGCGGCGGCTGTGGCGGCCAAAGAGGCTGGGGCAAAGCATGTTCTTCTCATCGACAAGTGCCCGGAAGAATGGGCAGGAGGCAACTCGTATTTCACGGCTGGCGCGTACCGGACTGTCCATGGCGGGACGGCGGATCTGCTGCCTCTGGTCAACAACGTGGACGAGGAGACGGCGAAGAGGATCGACTTGGAGCCGTACACGGTTGACAATTTCTCGAACGACATGAAAAGGATATGCAGCGGCCGATCTGATCCGCGGCTGGCCAAGATTCTCATTGGAGATTCAAATGCAACGGTCAAGTGGCTGAAAAGCAACGGCATTCGGTTCCAGCTATCGTTCAACCGCCAAGCGTACGAAGTCGACGGGCGCCTGAAGTTCTGGGGCGGGTTGTCGTTGAAGACCCAGGACGGAGGAAAGGGTTTGATCGAAGACCACAAGGCCGCAGCTAGGAAGCACGGCGTGGAAGTTCTCTACTCTACCCCTTTGAAACGGCTGATAACGGACCCCAAGACTGGCGCCGTCACCGCAGTCGCTGTGCAGTCCAATAGCGAGGATGCCGTTATTCGGACTGGCGCAGTCATTTTGGCAGCTGGAGGGTTCGAGAGCAATCCTCGCCTGCGATCACAGTATTTGGGTCCCGGTTGGGATCTTGCGAAAGTGCGAGGCACCCCCCACAACACTGGCGATTGCCTCGAGACAGCCATCCGCGACGTCTCGGCCGGTCAGGCTGGAAATTGGTCAGGGTGTCATTCCGTGGCCTGGGACGCGAACGCCCCCAGCGACACGGGCGATCGGGAGGCGTCTAACGAGTTCACAAAGTCCGGATACCCGCTGGGCTTGATGTTCAATATCCTAGGCGAGCGGTTCGTCGACGAAGGCATCGACCTGCGTAATTACACGTACGCCAAGTTCGGACGCGCTATCCTCGCACAGCCGAGCCACGTCGCCTTCCAGATCTGGGACTCGCGCACGATCTCGTGGCTGCGGTCCGAAGAATATCGGCCGGAAAGAGTCGAAAGGATCACGGCTGACTCGATCGAGGAGCTCGCCGATAAACTAACGCCGCTGGGCCTGGAGAACCGCGACGCCTTCGTCCGCAACGTGAAGGAATACAACGAAGCCGTCTACGCTTTTCAACAGGAGAACCCGGACAAGAAATGGGATCCCGCCGTCCGGGATGGCATGTCGACGCAGTCCAGGGTGAAGCGGCTCGCGCTCGGGAAGACGAACTGGGCCCTCCCCGTGGACAAGGCGCCCTTCCTGGCCGTAGCCGTAACCTGCGGCATTACCTTCACGTTCGGCGGGTTGAAAGTCAATCCCGAGACCGCGCAGGTTGTCAGCTCGATGACGGGCAAGGAAGTCCCCGGGTTGTATGCTGTCGGAGAGATGATGGGTGGTCTGTTCTACGAAAACTACCCTGGCGGCAGTGGCTTGACCTCTGGTGCCGTGTTTGGGCGGAGAGCAGGCACGGCTGCGGCGAAGGCGGTGGCTCACAGTTGAGAGAGCAAGGTGGGGACAGAAGCACATCACATACACTCAATGCATGGCTATACATGTAATACTTGAAAGGTAATATTATCAGTCAAAGTTTGAACAACCACACGAGCTTGACCCCGCTAGATGGGAGCGTCCGTGAGAGGCAGAGAGCGAGGCGAAGAGAAAAAGGAACTTGTTGTTAAGAAAGTCGTTTTATTGTATATAGCGCTCTCAGGGCCCAAGATCCCAGCTACACCTGTATTCGGTACCGGGTACGTGAACCAGCTCAGCTCAGCTTCGCTAGATCAAAGCCCAACAGTAATACTCTTGATCTCGGTGTACTCATCAAGGGCATCCCTGCCGCCCTCCCTGCCGACGCCGCTCTCCTTGATGCCGCCAAATGGCTGCTCGCACGCACTGATCAATCCAACGCGGACGCCGACCATGCCGGACTCGAGCGCCTCGCCGACCCGCCACAGCCGCGAGATGTCCTCGGTGTAGAAGTAGGACGCGAGCCCGGCGCTCGTGTCGTTGGCCATCTCCACAGCCTCGTCCTCGGTGTCGAAGGGGACCAAAAACGCCAACGGCCCAAACGTCTCCTGCTTCATGAAGAGCATCTCCTTGGTTGCGTCTGTGACGATGGTGGGCGGGTAGAAGTTTGGCCCGAATCCGTCGTGGCCCTGGTTCTTCTCAGTAGCACCACCGGTGGCGTAGATCTTGCCCCCCTTGGCCAGCGCGTCCTTGATCTGCGCCTCGATCTTCTCAAACGCCTTGGGTGAGTACAACGGGCCAAAGTTGACCTGCTTGTCCCACACGGAGCCGTAGCGGAACGTCTTTGCCAGCTTCTCCGCGAGCACTGTGGCGAACTTGTCCATCACCGAGCGCTGCACGAAGATCCGGTTCGCGCACACACAAGTCTGGCCTGAGGAGCGGAATTTGGACGAGATGAGGCCTGTGGCATTGAATCAATATTTGCTCTTCTGGTCTACATAACTCTGCTGTTCCACGGCCGTAAAGGGGGAGTGGGGGAGAAAGAGAGAACGTACCTTCTGCAGCCTTGTCAAGCTTCGCATCCTCGAAGATGATAAAGGGCGCATTCCCGCCCAGCTCCATGCTGGTCTTCTTGAACGTCTTTGCACATTCGGCGTGCAAGTAGCGCCCCACCGCCGTAGAACCCGTGAAGCTGAGATGGCGCACGGCAGGGTTCTGAGTAAACTCCTCGCCGACGAGGGCCGACTTGGCCGCGCTTGATGTAACGATGTTGAAGACGCCGGGGGGCCCGCCGGCGCGCTCGAACAGCTTTGCCACGGCGATGGCGCACAGGGGCGTCTCGGGCGCGGGTTTGCAGACGACCGTGTTGCCCGCGGCAATGGCGGCGCCGACTTTTCGCGTCACCATGGCGATAGGTGAGTTCCAGGGCGTGATGGCCGCGACGACGCCCTGGGGCTGGCGGATCGTGAAGATGCGGTTCTCGCCCCTCGCGGCCGGGATGGTCTCGCCGTACTGCCGCTCGATCGCGCCCTCGAACCAGTCGATGAAGTCGGTCCCATATTTGACCGTGACGTGCGACTCGGTGTACGGCTTGCCCAGCTCCAGCGTGCAGATGGCCGCCAGGTCGTCCTTTGCCTGCTTGATCAGGTCCGCCCACCGCCGCATCAGGAAGCGCCGCTCGCGCGCCGTCGTCTTCTTGTACGTCTTGAATGCCGTCTGCGCCGCCTCGATGGCCTGTTGGGTCTCTTCGCGGCCCAGGTCGGCGACGTCGCATACCTTCTCGTTGTCGGTCGGGTCTGGGGGATTTCGCATAAGAATGAGGCAAACAAGAGAGCTTCAACAGCCCGTCCACGTCTCTGAGGTCCCCTTACCAAGAACAGCGAATTTGTCTCCATTGAGAGCGTCGACCCATTTGCCTCCTATGAAGGACCGCGTGTCCAAAAGTGTTGGATCTTGGAACTAATCCGGCAACCCCCGCCCCAGCAGCTCGCCTCAGTATAGATCTTCCCGGTATACCAGAGAGCCACACCTACCGTATAGGGGATCTTCTTGCAAAGTATCTCCGCCATGGCTAACGACAGTCTTGATCAAGACGCACTCTAGATTCTGCAAGCAAGGGATCTAGTTGTTGAATGCCTGTGCGGGCATCGAGCCGGTGCTTGCCGTGCCATGATATTGATACATACATGGGCGGGGAAGCATTGATCGACTGTCTACAACACCAATGGCCGGACAATGGCCGGGAGGAGAATCCATGGCATCGGCTGCAGCGTGAAGGAAGACTGACCTCCGCATTCTTGGTGTAAGTCGGAAGTCTTACCAAGGTCCTACTTACTCCAACTGCTGCGGAGAGCACAATCCTGCCCAATTTCAGTCCGATCTCGGCTTGGTCGATGCCAATAAGATTCATGGAGGACCATCTCATACGGAACATTCAGCCTTGTCCTCCACCTTATTCGTCAATGCCCCTTAAACATGTAGTACCGGGGGGGTTCCAAGCATATATCCCAATTTTCATCGTTGAGTTGGAGCTACACGCATTAGTCGTCGGTGTAGAAGAGGATGAACTGGTACGGTCGGTCATGCCCGCCTTCGATTGGCGGGTATGTGTAGCGAATTGGTGGTGGCGGTACAGCAGGTGCCCTCGGAACGTATATAGACGGTGGTGGGAAGTCTGGACTCTTGAATCACCAACATCAAGATATTCCCAAACTCCAAGTCCCAGGTAAACCAATCTCCAGTAGTCTCATCTTGCATCAAGCAGTCCTCGATTCGACGCTCAATCGACTTCCGCAAAGTATCTTCAGGAGCTGCGCAATTTTTGTATATTTGGCGAGTTTTGAGTAAAGGGTGAAGTGCTATGCCATGAGGAAGACTCTGCCATATTGCAAAGATCCTGCTTC